AGTGTAGAAAACAAATATAATTTTTTAAATTAACGGATTAAATTTTGTTCTTACTAACATCGTATATACACACGCTTGTCCGCATGGAACTATTTTTCGTGTAGTTAACATATAAGAAATTTTATTTTTGTCATAAAATAAGATTGAAATAAACATATGTATTTTTAATGTCTTAGATAATTTCTTAAAAGCTAAAGTTATGTGCGCAAAAGCAGAATATACTTCTGATCTCAATTCAGATATGGAAGTGAAAATACAAGTAAAAAAAAAGCGATTTTTCGATTAAGAGAGTTCTGAAGAGAATATAACTGAAGTTGATTGCAATTCCGACTTTGCACATAGAACTTCTTCTACCAAAGAAATAAGTATTTTATCTTTAAGCTGTTTAAAATTATTGTTTTACATATTTAATTATATATGTACAGTATTGTGACATTATATTAAGATATATAATTCTAACTGATATTTTTAAGCACGCAAAGTAGACAATGAGATTTCGGAAACATCAAGCGATGACTGCGAACGTGACATATTGTCCAACGCAATATTACCATCTTCACCAGGTACAAATATGTATTTAATTCATATAGTAATTAGCATTTTGTTAACATTGCTATATATGTATTGTTTTAATTCTAACAATTACAAATTTAAACTTTTATAGGCGCTATGAAAATATCTGAACACGTTGTGCTATCAAAGAAAGAATCGAATATGATGCAAAAATATACTGGGGAAAAAGATCACGAATTGAATACGATGCAAAAACATACTAGGGAAAAAGATCACGAGTTACCGATGGTAATAACTAGCAAGTCTTCATATCAACCTATGAAATCACGTGATAACTTATATGGTAATATGCTTTACATGATGCATTATATTTCATTTACTATTACCTATGTTTATATGTATCGATTATGATCAATATTTGATTATATTAATATACATATCTGCAAATAATTTACGTTTATTAAAATATTTCATGTTTTAGATGAAAATTTCCAAAAACAGGTTTTACGCCTATTACAAATAATTAATTTACGACAGCAACAAATATCAGAGGATCTTGGCATCTCATTAATAAAAGCGAATTTTGAGAAGAATGAAGAAAATGTGCTTGATGAAAATAGTATATTTAAAAAATTTAATTTTCCGTTGCAAAATCAACAGGTTTTACAGGAGTTAGAAGAATTCCTAATCGAAGATAATAACTTCAAACAATTTGTACATATATTTACTTACTAGAAAATGTTTATTTATGATTTGAATTTATTAATATATTGTTATATTTTCGATCAAAGAGATTATTCAAATCGGAGGAGCATCATGTAAACATATGGTGAAACGCGTTCTGCCAAAAGTAATGTCTAATAATTTAGCTAAAACATACAGTTGGTTAGGTTTCAAAGGAAAAAATAAGTTTCATAATCTTCGCATTTGCTCTGCAATATTAACTTCTACACAGAAAACATATGGTTACTCCGAAGCGATAGTAGAATCTTTAATAAAATATTGACTTGTAAAATCTACTGAATAGCAAAAACATCAACGAGAGACAAATTGTAAGATGTTTTACTTCAGGAAGAAAAGAGATCTCTAATTTTAAGTGCAATGTGATACACAAAGTGACGAATTTATAGTATTAAATAGGTAGTTTATTTTTTTTCCACCAGATTCTGATAGCACATGCACTAATGTAATATGTTACAGAGAGAGAGAGAGAGAGAGAGAGAGAGAGAGAGAGAGAGAGAGAGAGAGAGAGAGAGAGAGAGAGAGAGAGAGAGAGGAGAGGGAGAGGGAGAGGGAGAGGGAGAGGGAGAGGGAGAGGGAGAGGGAGAGGAGAGGGAGAGGGAGAGGGAGAGGGAGAGGGAGAGGGAGAGGGAGAGGGAGAGGGAGAGGGAGAGGAGAGGGAGAGGGAGAGGGAGAGGGAGAGGGAGAGGGAGAGGGAGAGGGAGAGGGAGAGGGAGAGGGAGAGGGAGAGGGAGAGGGAGAGGGAGAGGGAGAGGGAGAGGAGAGGGAGAGGGAGAGGGAGAGGGAGAGGGAGAGAGGGAGAGAGAGGGAGAGAGGGAGGGGGAGGGGGAGGGCGAGAGGGGGGAGAGGGAGAGAGGGGGAGAGGGGGGAAGAGGGGGGAGAGGGGGAGAAAGAGAGGGAGAGAGGGAGAGAGGGGAAGAGAGAGGGAGAGAGAGGGTGAGAGAGGGAGAGGGAGGGAGAGAGAGGTAGAGAGAGGGAGAGGGAGAGAGAGGGAGAGAGTGGGAGAGAGTGGGAGAGAGGGGGAGAGAGGGGGGGAGAGGGAGAGAGGGAGAGGGAGGGAGAGAGAGAGAGAGAGAGAGAGAGAGAGAGAGAGAGAGAGAGAGAGAGAGAGAGAGAGAAAGTGTGTGTATATAGACTTGTTCTTTTTAGCTGTTTTGTTGAATTAGTATATTTAATTGATTGAAAAAATATACCTGTCTCACTTCAATTAGTGCAAGTTGAAAAGAACAAATTGATATATCGCTTCACTCTTATTTTATAAATTAATATATTTATGCATTGCAGGCTAAAGGAAAACTTTATATATTCGTATGTAACTTTACATATTTGTCCACTAACTTTTATTTTAAAGTATATATATATATACATTATATGTTCAAATAAAAACGAGTTGATGATTAAGTGTGCTGTGTTTATTTAAATATTATGTCACATATATCAAATATATATGTTTGTATATACATTTACACATTTATAAGAGTATTCTATATAAGCATATTCAATTTGCAACTTGTCAAAATTGACTCATGTATATATTTAAGTTTTAATAATCTTTATAGGTGCATTTGAGTAACTCGCTATTTAGCGATATCGTGTCATTTTATCCATATTATACGTATATGATATACAGACGTATATGTATAAATAGAATGATACGATAGCGTTGATAATGACCTTGCGAACGCGCTATATATTATGCATCATAAATAAGACTAATGAGATATTACGTCCCAAACAGCACACTCCAGATAGAATGTCCGAAATTGGGATATAAGACGTTTTTAAGATGTCTGAAACACATCTTATGTCCCGGTTTTGGACATTCTGTCTGAGGTGTTTATGACTTATCGGATATCGGATGAAATTATATATCGAATATATCATAACTTGATATCGCGAGTCATAAATACATTAAGTATGAATGGTCTGCACACTCAACGTTCAAATTGCATAATATAAAAGCTAATAAAACTTAATATGTTCATGAGTCAATATTAGCATGAGCTGCAAATTAAATATGTCCATAAAACGTATTTCAAAAGTACCTACAATGTTCTGTGGAACATTCTATACAATGTGCTATATATGTTCATGAAATATTCTAGGGAACATTCCATAAATGTTCGATAAAATATTCTACGAATGTTCTATACAAGTACGTACAAACTCCAATAAAATATTCTATGCACATTCATAAAATATTTATGTGTGTATCATTCGAATATACTATGACCATACTATGAACATATAACTATGTTTTTAGAACATTCTATACAATATACGTATATTCGTCCAGAATATTCATAGTGTGTTCATAAAATATTCTTGTGCTATCTGGGTATGAATGCAGTTTTCGAAAAAATAGAAACTTCGGGTATACAGCACGTTTAAAAATAAAAAAACGGTAATTACGTTATAAAGCGAAGTCATAATCATAATAAACCTGATTTTAAATTATCAGAGATTAGAAAAGAAATAGAAACGTCAAGTCAGTTTCAATCTACAAGATCAATAAAAAACACAATTATTTCAAAGTGAGTACAAAACGATAAAACAGAAAATATTAAGCTTAAAATGAAAATTATGCTTAAAATGTTGAAAATTTAAAATTAAAAGGAACATTAGATACAATTTTTAATTGGTAATTTTTGAATTAACGTTTAGGTACGATAGTTTGCTCCATTTTACTAATATTAGAAATGTCGAAAGATGTATTGAACGTTCGAAAAAGAAAAAAGGATTTGGACAGACCCCGCAAAATTTAACAGACATGAGTATCAGTTTGAAAAAAAAAATGGAAAGATCTATTAAAAATAAATGAAACACATTCATTTGCTGTAGAAACAGTTATTAAAAATAATGATACTAAGGCGGTCATTTTTATTGACAAATTTATAATAGAAAGTATAACAAAATTAACAAATAAGTTAATTATTTTTGTGGACGGTACCTTCGCAACGGTGCCTCAATTACATAATAATAATTGTCAATTATGGTTTATTGTTATTAGAAATAATGACAGAGTAAGTAAAAGAATTCAAAATTATATTCATTAAATAATAATTAGTTTATATTATTGCAAAATACACTCAATATAAATATATAAACAACTTAAATTTTTTTTCTCAAATTTCAGACATATCCTATTGTGTATTCAATAATGGAAAGTCGCACAACCGAAAATTATTTAGATGTTTTAAAAAAAATTAAAGATATTATAGATATCAAACCAGAATATATATTATCTGATTTTGAAAGAGCAGAACAAAATGCGCTTAAGACAGCATTCCCTAATGCAAAAGTTATTGGCTGCTTTTTTCACTACAGCCAGGTAATAAAAGATAAAAATGCACATAATAAGAAACATGAAATGCACTTTAATTTTCATTATATTGTTTTCTTTTTACAGGCTATAATACACAATGCGAAGAAATATAAAATTTTAAAAAACAAACAAGAAATAGGGTGGAATGCAACAAAATTATTAATACCATTAGCATCGTTGCCAGAATCAGTTATAGAAGAAGGTTTTTATATAATCACTAACATTATTTTTTATAAATGTACATATTTAGATGAATTTTTTAATTATTACAAAGAAACATGGTTAAATAATTTTAAACCCAATTCGTTTTGTGTGTATAAACAACTGCATAAAACAAACAATATAAGTGAGCGACACAGTAGAGAATTGAAGGAAAGTCTTCGTAAACATCCAACAATCATAACATTTTTAGATATATTATTAAGCACTCTATTGCATTTATTGCTAGAATATTTTTAGCATTCTTATAATTTAATATTATCTATTACAGAAAAATTAACACAACACCAGAGAAACATTCATAACATGATGAGGAATCCAACATTTTGGGCAAGATCCGATTATAATTCCTCCTTAAAAAGAAAAGAAGTAATATTAAAAGACATTTGGGCCAAAATTGATAAAAGCAAAGATGTAGATTTACTATTAATTTTGTACGAATTATCAAAATTAATAGGAAAGGCGAAACAAACGCATAATATAACATGTTCTTACTTTCTATTTTCTTTGCGATCCTTGACTTCTCGTGACTCTTGCATCTTCCATTTATATAATTTTTATTTTTCATTTTACTGTAGTTGTCTTCTTTAAGGACCAATCCTCAATTTTTGGGAAAAAGTTCATCATTCTTGACCGTAAATCACAACAACCTTACTTGCAGAGGCAAACATAGGCAAAACATCCTGTTTCCTAAAAGATAAGAAGAATATATCAGTCAATACGCTACATGATAAAGTGATAAAAAAATTTCAAGTACAGCTGTCAAAAGCATTGACAATAAACATCAATGTTACGAACCTATTATTAGTTTGATGCATTAATCTGTCATCATACTGCTAGTAACACATCTTACTCTGATATTTGATGTTAGGATGTGATTCAACTTTTGCTTTCTGGGACGCATTCAAGGACACAGTAACCTCAGACTTTGGTAATCTTACTTCACAGAAAAGTGGCCTCCAACTAATAATATTCTGCAAGCACTTGGATAGCTGGGAAGCTGAAACAAAAAATTAATCGAAACAAAGAATCGGTTCAACATCTATCATTACTGACTATACATAGATACTTAATCTTTTATTTTATGTGAATATTAATTACTTATTTGATATGTATTTCTTTATTACAATAGTGGAAAATTTATGCCAATGCGAAGAACTAACAAGGGACATTCGGCAACGCGGAAATTCAAAAAAATCTGAAACTCTGCATAATTGTAGAGCAGATATACCTAATAACAAAACAATTTTTCGTTGGTGCCCAAAAACGGTTTTAAGGGTGGAAACAACCCCTTGAACAAAGTTGATTTTTGTCTTTCTAAGCGAATATTATCGAAACTATTAAAGATATGAAAAAATGTTTTAGACAAAAGTTTTATGGTTTTAAAAGTACTTTATTATGCTATATTTAGATTTTTTAAAAATGTAAAATTGTGTATAAAATACCCCCCCTCATTCTCTTTTTTCAAATTGTTAAAATCAATTGTCCAACCAAAATAAAGCTTATTTTATGACAAATTCAACCATATATAATAACATTATGTTTGGAAAAGGCAATATTGAAAAAAAATTAAACATGCTCTTATATGTATGCTACGCGTACCAAACTTAAGGATTCGCTACTTGACGATGGCATTTCTTTCTTCCTCAAATCTTCCTCATAATTGCAAACTGTAAAAGATAAGGAAGGAAGAAAATAGAAAATCTAAAAAAGCAATAAAGTTGATGTTAAGAAGTAAGTAGGAGAAAAATAGCATGATAAGGATACAGTCACTAATATTTAAAAATGTTATAAATTATAAAATTTCACGTAATAGACGTTTATTTTGCCAACATTGCGGCTACCTTTTTCATTAATTTAAACGACACGCGTAAATATAAATAAATATGTGTGTGTGTGTATGTGTGTTTTTGTACGTGCGCACGTGTGTGTACATCATGGCAACATGCAAAACACTTGTCACAAGTTTTATGACTGTGCGACCAAAATAGCACTCTTTATCAAGTACAGTGCAATCAAGGTTCATTATATTGACATATGTTATCTTCATTCATTTGCATATAAAAGCTGTCCATTTTGGAATACATTTCAGTGTTATTGAAGCAGTTATTGAAGCAGTACGTATATTATTATTGCTGTGAGAAATGTTTAATTAAAATATCCTTAAGATTTGTATCATAATGTCAGTAATAAATCCAGCTAATGTTATTAATTTGTTAATTGCGACATTTCATTTCACAAATATTGCAATAACTCCTGTTAATCATCAAGAGGTGGAACTCCATGATACAATTACTGATTTAATAAAGAGTGCTATACATCACGATATTACGATCGAACATGAGTGGGGACTTGATTTTGACGATCCATCAGAACCGCATGACGTACAATTTGTAGATGTGTACGATATTGATGCTGAAGAAGATAATTATGGAAATGAAGTTTGCACTGTGGATGATGAAGGTGGAAATGTAAACTTAAATTATAAGAAAAAGGCAATCGAATTTTGGAAGAGTGGAAAGAAAGGACATTTATCTCTTACTTCTGTACAACATCGTTTTAGAAAAGTAAAGTTTAATTAAAAAATAAGAAGAATAATATATAGTAAAATACTTGAGGCTTTTACGGTGTACAGTGACCGGCAGTGATTCGTTCCGCGACAGAGAGAACTCTATTTCCCCTCTCGCGGAACGCATCATTGTCGGTCATTGTACATACAGCTTTGACTATAAGTATAAAGCATCCCAAAAAATTTATTTAAATTGTGTAACAAAAACATACTATATGAATATATGGAGAACATAATATAGTATACGAGTATATGGAAAAATAATATAATAAAAAAATATAATATAAGAATATGTGGAAAATAATATTTATTTTACAATATTTATTGTAATATAATATAATATTAATATAATATAAATTATAATATAAATATAATATACATAAATATAATATACACATTATATTATAAAATATTAATATAATATTTATTGTAAAGAGATTATATATTTACTATGAGTATATGCATTGATTTCTAGGAAAATACAATGAGTTAGAGATGCTTTATACTTATGACCAAAGCTGTAAATTATATAATTAGAGTCGCGTTGTTTTTTATTTTAAGTTTTACAATTTGATGTTTCGTGAACATTTAATTCGTATATAACTTCTTTTATTTTTGAATTCGAATTGTTTAATATTGAGATTTGTTTTCTTCTAGGTAAAATCTATTCAACAATTGCACAGATGGCAAGAACATGTAATGCGTGGGGGTTCAAATACAGACAAACTTGTAGTTATTGCTGAATATGTTCTTATAAAATTCCAAGAAGCTGTTAATAGAGGACTTATTATTCATGATATAAATCTGCGAAAATGGGCATTAGAAGCAAAGGAACAAGTGGATTTTTCTTCATTTAAAGCAGGAAATTGGTGGATATGGAATTTTAAAAAGGCACATCGTATTACATCACGTAAAATAACTGCATTTAAAACGCGGTCTTCTCATTTAACTGATCTAACTATACGTCAAAACGCTGAGGAATTTGTAAATACAGTAAAGCCACATATTAATGTAATCGGTGCTGAATCAACTTATAATGCGGACGAAAGTGGCTTTAATTTAGAAATACATGCAGGTAGAACATTAGCTAATGTAGGAGTGAAGACAGTTGGAGCTACTATCCAATCTTTATCTGCTATGACTCATAGCTACACCATTATGCCTATTATATCTGCGGATGGACATCTCCTTTCGCCTTTGTATATAGTATTAAAAGAATCTACTGGTGTTTTTGGACCACAAGTAGAACAAACTCTTTTTAGACCAGTGAATATTTACATTGCGGCTTCAAAATCAGGGAAATTGACAACTGAACATTTCAAAAATTGGTTCCAAGAAGTGTATCTACCAAACACTGGAGAGAAAAATATACTACTGCTTGATTCATGGACATTGCCCGAACCAATTGGAAGAACTTGTACCAAAAGACAAACATGTAAATATTCTAACAATACCAAAAAAAATAACTGCTTTTATACAGCCATTAGATGTTTTTGGTTTCAGAATCTGGAAAAATTTTGTTCGAAGCTTTTCTGATAGTGTTATTATAAATAATTATGACATAAATTTACATTTACGTAATAACATAATAAAATTGCAATCTTTAACACACAATCAACTGTCTTCTCCAAGATTTCGAAATTTATTTAGATATAGCTGGTATAAAAGTGGTTATTTATCAACACGGCCTGAAAAATTTCATAATCCAATCGATTATTGTTATTTTAAAGAAGAAAAACGTATACCAAAATGTAGCATTTGTGGTAAAATGGCTTTTATACGTTGTGCATGGTGCAAGCAATATTTTTGTTTTGAACATTTCTTTGAGCAATATCATTATTGTAATAATTATATAGAATAAATAATATTTTACTGTCCTCAATTCCTGTAAAATTTGTATATATTATAATCCATACCAAAATATAAGATATCTTTCACTCGAATATCTATATCGACTACTTAATTAATAAAACCTATATACTGAATGAAGCAAAACACATACACATAAATGTACACTGAATAAATTTATAAATTATAATTTTCATTATTAAATCCGTGTGTGTTCTCCTTTTTTCTTCATATCATTCATTTCCTTATTTGTTCTTTACAATTGAATTTAAAAGATTATCTATATTAGGGTTATATACACTCTCTCTGCGTCCTCCTTATCATGCTGTTCTTCTTCAACTTACTTTTTAACATCAACTTTATTATTTTTTTAGATTTTCTATTTTCTTCCTTCCTTATCTTTTACAGTTTGCAATTATGAGGAAGATTTGAGGAAGAAAGAAATGCCATCGTCAAGTAGCGAATCCTTAAGTTTGGTACGCGTAGCATACATATAAGAGCATGTTTAATTTTTTTTTCAATATTGCCTTTTCCAAACATAATGTTATTATATATGGTTGAATTTGTCATAAAATAAGCTTTATTTTGGTTGGACAATTGATTTTAACAATTTGAAAAAAGAGAAGGAGGGGGGGTATTTTATACACAATTTTACATTTTTAAAAAATCTAAATATAGCATAATAAAGTACTTTTAAAACCATAAAACTTTTGTCTAAAACATTTTTTCATATCTTTAATAGTTTCGATAATATTCGCTTAGAAAGACAAAAATCAACTTTGTTCAAGGGGTTGTTTCCACCCTTAAAACCGTTTTTGGGCACCAACGAAAAATTGTTTTGTTATTAGGTATATCTGCTCTACAATTATGCAGAGTTTCAGATTTTTTTGAATTTCCGCGTTGCCGAATGTCCCTTGTAAGTCACAACCATGACCGATAATTTACTGAAGCATGCCAAAACACTGAAAAACTTAAATTCTTTATTTACATTTAATAATTACTTATCTAGTTACACATATACATATATATATGCATGTACACAAACACGCACGCACGCACGCACACGCACACGCACATTCACACTCACACGCACACTCACACGCTCATATTATATATAATATATATATATTTATTTATTTATTTATTATTATGTTTTTTACCTTATTAACTTTATGTTCTCACTCGTCTCATTTATTTTGTTATACGCACTTTATGTTTTCACTTATGTCATTTTTATTTAATATTATGAAGTATTTTACACTTATAATTTGATGATACATGATATTTGTGACAACGTGTGTACATCTGTCAAAAAGTTTGCGCAAATTAATAGCTTACCACTTAAACAATATTACTAACCTTTAGAAATTAAAACTATGTCGTCTAGAAGTTTTCGTTAATACCAACTTTGTCTCCGCCATTTTTCGGGAAACTGTAGCGTTACCTCCCATCTCAGCAGGGCGTACAAACTCCTCGTATTTTAGGGGTGACGGAAGTGATTAGTTCGCTTATTCTTTCGGTACATAGGCCGAGGGCAGCACAGTCGATTCCCCACTACCGCTCGTCGGATGCCATATTGGACACTTACTGTTTACCAGTTTTCTGGAGTAGTAGGAATTTTGTGTGTTTTGTGCGATAGCAAGTGATAGCAAGTGATTATTAATTTAGTGAGAGGTGTTTATTTTCAGGTTATTTTCAGGTTATTTACAGGTTATTTTCAGATTATTTACAGGTTATTTACAGGAAGAAGAGCCAAGTAAGGAGAGAGAGCGTGTGGAGATAAAATATTTCTATTTCTGTAAGTAAATATTTATATGTAAATATGTAAATCGGTTTAAATTATTTCACGTTGTTCGTTGATCTTTCCTAAGGTCTCAGATAGCACAAATGTTTTAAACACATTTGACTTATGTTAAGAGACATAATAAAAGCAAGACGTCTCTCTTTTATACGCTTTTAGACATATCTTATTGTAGATCGATGTTAATAGTGAGTGTATGAATGCTTATGTGCAGTGATGCACATATATGATGCAGGTTGCTAGTGCATCAAATTTTTTTAACCACACCAGATATATGGCAGAAAAGTACCTGACAGTCCGTAGTCTGCAAGCGGGACGGAAAAAATTTGATGCATACAATTCATTGTAATTATTTTTCATTGAACTGTAAATAATTTCATTAAACTACATATATATATCAGGTGTAGTAAAAAGAAATCTATTATTTTTCCAATAGATGGCTTTAGTTATCTGTATCTCGCGTTGTATAAGTCCGATCGGGTTCCACTAGATGGCGTTAGAAAGATGAGATTTCGTAGTAAAACAATTTTTTTGACAGTTTTGTGATTAGTTGACTCAGTTTTGTTTGAGCGCACATCAAAAATGGACACTAGCAAAGAGAAAATACGCTATATTTTACAGTTTTTCTTCGATAAAGGCGAAAACGCAAGCCAGGCGGCTGAAAATGTGAATAGTGTTTATGGTCCTGATACTGTAACAGCCAATCACGCGCAATTTTAGTTTCGTCGATTCCGTTCCGGTAATTTCGATGTCAAAGATGCACCACGCACTGGAAGGCCAATTGTCGACAATATCGATAAAATCATGGACATTGTCGAGTCCGACCGTCATGTAAGCACTGTTTCGATTGCCCAAGAGCTAAAGATTGCACAAAAAACCGTTTGGAACCATTTGAATAAGGCTGGATACAAACAGAAGCTCGATGTATGGGTGCCACACGAGTTAACGAAAAAAAACCTCATGGACCGAATTTCCATCTGCGAATCGCTGCTGAATCACAACAAAATCGACCCATTTCTGAAGCGGTTGGTCACTGGTGATGAAAAGTGGATCACTTACGACAACGTCAAGCGAAAACGGTCGTGGTCGAATCGCGGTGAGCCGGCGGAAACGGTGGCCAAGCCAGGATTGACGGCCAGGAAGGTTTTGCTGTGTGTTTGGTGGGATTGGCAGGGAATTATCTACTATGAGCTGCTCCCCTACGGCAAAACTCTCAACTCGGAACTGTACTGTCAACAATTGGACCGTCTGAAGGAAGCAATCGCCCAGAAGCGGCCAGCTTTGGCCAATAGGAGAGGAATTGTGTTCCATCAGGACAACGCCAGGCCACACACATCGATAGTGACTCGCCAGAAGCTCCGGGAGCTTGGTTGGGAGGTTCTTATGCATCCACCTTATAGTCCGGACCTGGCACCAAGTGATTACCATCTATTCCTGTCCATGGCGAGCAATTTTGCTGGTGAAAAATTCGCTTCAAGAGAGGCTTGTGAAAATCGACTGTCTCAATTTTTTGCCAATAGGGACGAGGGCTTCTATGAGAGGGGCATAATGAAATTACCTTCAAAATGGCAACAAGTTATCGAACAAAACGACGCATATTTGACCTAAATTGGATCATTTTAACTATGGTAATTAAAGCCTTCAATTTCATGCAAAAATAATGGATTTCTTTTTACTACACCTGATATATATACCATTGTAACTAAAAAAATATATATGTATAATATGTTTATAAAACGAAAATTGTATACTGCTTATTTCAATAAAATTTGCGAACCCTATTATACACACATATACATATCACAAAAAAATATATATATATTGAGTTGAATAATAATTAATTTCTTAGTTTTCAGGTATAATGGAATAACTGTATGTTTATGTCATTATAATTTCATGAAATAATGTATGTGATATATTGAACTATTGGGTTCCTCACAAAGTGCTTGCGTTCATTAACATCATTGATTCATGTTAATTCTTTGTATAAAATTAAGTTTTGAAAATCACTGAAAAAACTGCAATGACTTTTTGAACAACACAATATCATCTACCATCTCTCGCATACATTGCTTCATGAAATTATAACAACATACAAGTATTGTTTAATTTTACCAAAAAAATACAAAATTACTTTCCAGATAGCATCGAATCTTCAGAGAATGTTCTTAGAACGTTCTTAGGATGTATAAATGTCCTTAGAACGTTCTTAAAACATCCTTTTAAGATTTGTGCTATATGGGTCATACACGCTTAATATATATATATATTTATATGTAAGGCCTGTTCTTTTTCGCTGCACTGCTGCACTGATGCAATAAGTTAGAATGAGAAATATATATTTGTTTCACTCTAACTTATTGCATCAGTGCAGCAGTGCAGCGAAAAAGAATAGGCCTTATATTTATATATATATGTACTGGATTTAAATGTAGCGCGTATCCCCACTCTGTATCACGTGACCCATTTTAGTTCCACCAGTTCCGGTACGTATCATGGTGGCGCTCCAAAGACCCTCGGTTTCTAAGAGAGGAGTTTGTACCCCCTGCATCTCAGAGAGCGCTGCTAACTTCAATTCAATTCAATTCAATAAATGGCTCTGAGCAAAATAGGGTACTGCTCCAACGCCACTCTCACGGTGTAGATAGATTAAATTCTGTAAGGCTATTTTCCAGCAGATGTAAAAGAAAACAGGGACAACGCGTACGCAGTCCCAACGATAAAAAAATATGCGTAGTTACAGGAACCACATCCAACCGCCACGGAGGCAAACAAAAGACTGAGCGCTGCTAACGCTAATCATTTTCGCTCCATAATACCTCGTCTACAATAGAAGTGATAGAGTCGTAAGTCGTACAAATTGACCAATCGCGGTCGATTATTTTTCTCTTACCGGACTATGATTGGTCAATTTCTATGACTTACGACTCTACGACTTCTATTGTAGACGAGGTATGAAGGTCATTCTACAATGAGGTTGTAGTAGTATGCAGTAGGCAAATTGACCAATCACAGTCGATTTTTCTTCGATCGTAAAGAGAACAATCGATCGTGATTTGTCAATTTGCCTACTGCATACTACTACAACCTCATTGTAGAATGACCTTTAGAGTTTGCACACCCTGTCGTAAATCCATTGTAATATTTGGCACAAAGCTACAGGCCATCACACACAAACGAACTTAAACAGTAAGACGTAAGCAGTAAGCAAATTGACCAATCACAATCGAAATTTAAGGACGCCATTTTAAAACTTACGAGAATAATTGATTGCGATTGGTCAGTTTCTTTACTGCTTATGTCTTACTGCTTATGTTCATTTGTGTGTGATGGCTTTACGGAACAACTATAGCTGCGTTCCGATATTCACTGCCAGTGCTGAAAATCTATAATATACGTGACACAAACTATTTATTTTCAGTACCGATAGTGAATGTCGAAACACAGCCTATATTTATTTAGACAATAAGTAACTAAGTAAAATTATTATGGACAATTATGGATAAGTAACTAAGTATCACATTAGGTGTATTCTAATAGAACTGTACGCTTATTGGTTGAAAAATACCATTCTTAATATTTCTATCGTGCCTGTACGTATCCCGTGCTTACGATAACGAGAGTGGAGCGAGTGAGATCTGGATTCAACAGAGTAGTATATACTCCCATCTACAACAAATATATTCAATGGCTGATCCTGCTCTACTCCTGCTTGTCTCATACGGTACGAGCAATTCGGAATAATTGAGCTGTGGTATGTATTGACGATACGAAGACTATTTATTAATTTAAGTTTATTTATTTATTTTATTTAAGTTTTATTTTATTTGTAATTCAATTATTGATATTAAAAATCGTTATTACCGAAGTAACATTTGATATATTATTTGTAATCATATTTATTTTTTTGATAATAGATTTAATTTTATTCATAACCCAATCTTTAATTATTCTGATTTTTTTCAGCAGAATTACAAAAGTATCAAATTAAAAATGGAAAATAATTTATTAAATGATAATGCATGTGGTACATATTTACTTAATATTACTGATAATCTCCATGAATGTTATATTTTATTTATATAATATTAATTTTTCTGTTTAGGTGATAAAATGCAATGGACAGAAAGAATGACAACATTACTGTTGTCAGAGGTAAAGGAACATAAAGAACAGTTAAATATACAACCTCATAAAGTATTTTGGAAAGAAATCTGTTCTACAATTAATAGTATTGGCTATAATATAACACTGTATCAATGTTATTCAAAATGGAAAAGTTTAAAGAGAAAGTATACCCAAATAAAGGACAACAACAATCGGACTGGTGCCTCTAATCAACGATGGATTTATTTTGAAATGGTCGATAGCATTTTAAAGACAAGACCTGAAATGGAACCTGTCTCATTGGCTTCAAGTATAAGTGGCTTTCGTATCCGTAAAATACTTGCTGAAGGTGACAATACATCAGTGATGGATGATGCAGAAAATGACGAATTTAGAGTAGAAGAGAGAAGATCTTCAAATAATAGAAGTTCAATTGTCCAATTCCAAGTGCCACCAGCTTGTAAAAGATCTAGAGCAGAACCGTATTGGGCAGAATATATTAAATATATTAAATACAATTTTATAGGTTGTGTGCAATAAATATATAATAGAACATAGAAAAAGCTTTGTCATAAACGATGCTTTGTCAAAAACTTTTTTGTTAAGACTGAAGGCATTAATTTTTAAGTTTATTATTAAGTTTATTACTAATGACATTGACCACAAATGTCTAATTTAAAATTCAAGTATTGTACACTATTTAATTTAATATATTTCATTTACTTTGCATTTATTTCATTTTCTTTCTAATGGAAATAAAATGTATGTTCCTAATACTAATAAAGAAGGTTTTATGTGATTATAATCATTTCTTATTTGATTATGCTTTGTAGAATATAAAATAGTTATAGTTAGTAGGAATTAAAGCTTGACATCATATTTTTCATAAAAATACTATTATAGCTAAATTATATCAATATTTTATGATATATAAAGTAGATATACAAAAGTAAAAAGAAATTGTTTTATTATATATATGAATTTTTATGTAATGTTAACATAAAAGAAATAGGTAGTATTTCACAGAATTAAATTTCAGAACATGTTATTTCTTTAAATATGAGGAATATATTTATCAATGTTTCCGTTCATAATACGCTTTAAAAACGCAATAGACTTAAATCACATATTTTATTAATAAATATTTAATAAAAATTACAACAATAAATGCGCAATAATGTCTCTCTTAATGTTACCATCCAAGTCTATATTATTAGCTTCATTATTAATTTCTTCTAAATCTATACCATCTATGTCTATTGGATTACCTTCAAAATCGATACAGATATTATGTAATATACAGCAGGCTAAAACAATAAGCGGAATCAATTCAGTAGCGTACATATAAATATATTTCAATTTTCTAAACCGTCCAGTTAAAATTCCGAAAGTGCGTTCTATTATTACACGTATGTAAGTATGTTTCCGATTATAATTTATTTGCATCTGATTAAGGTGACCATTATCCCGGTAAGGTGTTAACATTCTATTAGACAATGGGTATGCACTATCTGCTAGGAGATGGTAAAAACTATTGAAATACCTATTATCATTTGCCTCGGCTAATGTTTTTATTTCACTTAATTCCCAAATTCTTGCATCATAGGCGCTTCCACATAAGCCAATAAAAACATCAATAAACTTTAATCTGCTATCACAAATACCCTGTAGTAAAATAGAATGGTAACCCTTCCAATTAACGTAACTATGAGTATCTTGTGTAGGAGCACTGATTTGGATGTGGTAGCTGTCAATCGCCCCTATCACTCCAGGAAATCTAGCCCCTGCATAAAATTCCTCTTCAATTTGTCTCATTTGATTACTTTTAGAAAATAATATAGTAAATACAGCAAAGTGCTTTTTTTATCATTCATAATTAATCATTCAAATATCATTCCTAATTAAAAGAATCATTGTTTGGAGCAAAAATTCTGTCATATACAAAATTTACTTCACTTTTTAAAATGGTTTAATAGCAAAAAAATATATTCCATATTTTTAAAATATTTCAAATTTACTAATTATTTAATTTTATATTTGTATAATTTTATAGTGATATAAATTTATGATATATATTAAATATAATAAAAATATTTACCGGAAAACTTCTTGATTTCCAAGGAACCATAATGCAATGATAATTTTTTTCTCAACTGGTATTCTCAATTGAATATTCTCATTGTGCAACAAGGATCCAAAGATTTGTAAAAGTCTTTCAAATGTAGCCCTTGTCACACATAAATGCATCTGGAAATTTCAATTATAACATAATCAAATTAGAAAATCTAATGAAAAGATACAATCAATGAGCATTAATTAACTACAACTTTATATATGTAATATAAATAAATTTCTCCTTTTGTCTATCTGAGGACAATTACTAATAACGTTATTACTTTCATTATGCTGTATGTAACATCTGTATAACCTTATATTCTCTTAATTTTTTGGTAAGAGCTTTTTTTTCAATATTAGAATATTCACATGTTTAATTATATATACATGTTTCATATATTAAATAACATTAAAAAAACTAACTATTAAATAAACAAGTTAATTAATTTAACTATTTTAAGTAAATAAATGAAAAATAAAAAATATTAAATAAACAAATTCGAGACAGCACAAGATCTCCTGGAGACGTCCTAAAGACGTCTTGAGAATGAAGAAACATCCTCAGCTTGTTTTCAGGACGTATTCTGGACGTCCCTTGAACATCTGTGCTATTACAGGAATTATTACCAAAGACTATCATTAAGTTAGGTAATTAAAGTTCTCCACATTTTTAATCAATATTGAAATATAAAGGCAGTTAAGAATCAATATATACTGCTACAATATTAAATAAGAAATGTTTCTCTATATTATGTGACAAATATTTATATTATTTCACAATAAACTTGTAAATATTTGTCACTTAATGTTGATAAATATTTCGTTTTAAACTCATTCCACTCTCTACAACAGTGCGTTACCTCTTCATTGCCTTTATACTTAATTATGACTAAGAAACTATTTTCCATTAATTTTTTGCTTTGTAGTACCTTCTTATCATGATTGCCAAAAGAAAAAATAATTAAAGAAATATAATAACAAACAGTACAAATGTATAAAATGCATTTTTAAGACATCTTAAAAACGTTTAAAACTTTAAAATAGAATATCTATCAAACGTTTCTATATGTCTCTTGAACATTTATGCTAAATGGAAACGGTTAATTATGTATTGAACAATAGGAATTAAATTAAATATTGCACTTACCATCTGGTGCGTACGCCATAACAACATTTTCATAGTACATTTGTATTTTTATATGTTCCTCACGAATAAGTTCTAAATAAATATCATCATCATTTACATTTTCATCGAAAAATAAGTTCCACAGTAAAGGCACGTTCATTTTTATATAAAGCCTAGTAATGACGATTTTAATATTAATAATTGAATAGAATTACAAGTTATATATAATAAAATTTAAATAAAAATTGTCTTCATATCGTCAATACGTACCACAGCTGAACTGTTCCAAATTGCTTATAATTACCGTATGAGACTGGCAGGAGTAGAGCAGGATCAGCCATTGAATACATTTGTCATAGATGGGAGCATAGACTACTCTGTTCCACTCGCTCCACTCTCATTATCGTAAGCACCCATCGTTTCGATGACTATCGCTTGCAGCGATGACTATCGTTATGTGCCACCTACAGAATAGCTAAAGCTAGCGGCACACGGTGCTTGTTTTCGTGCTGGATTGCTTGCTGGATGAAAATATTGCATTCTGATTGGTGCATTTCCATCCATCTTCGAAAATATACCAATCAGAACGCAGCATTTTCATCCAGCAAGCAATCCAGCACGAAAACAAGCACCGTGTGCCGCTGGCTTAAGATGTATCTTCGTCAGTTGTGCAACCGATAGATATCGTTACTATACCGATTCGACTAGAGTGCCTCTAATCAGAGTGGCGACAAGTTGGGAGGTCCGCCATGTTTTATCGAAATCGGGTGTGTTCAGACATACGCCGTCAGTACTGAAAATCTATGAAATGTACAATTTATGAACTGACCGTAAATATCGGAACATAGTGCAAAAAGTAACACAAACATTCGTATAACCTGTAAGCGTTTGACTGTTTATATTTTCGTTTTTATAGTTTTTATAGTTTCGTTAATTATTGCAAAATGGTTGGATGTACCATACCATTTTGCAACAATTCCTCAGAAAAGGGATATATTCTGAAAATAATCCCGAGAGATGATGAACGTCGACGACAATGGATAGAACGTATAAATACAAAGTATAATTGGACGCCAGCGTTACGTTGCGTTGCGTTTGCAATTTAAAAATAAACGTAAAATTGTATTACCGAATCGTAAATTCTATGACAGCAAGTCCATGGCGATGCATCATTCGTTCAAATAACTGCAAATCTATATACGTCTATTAATTAAATTATAGTTCTAAGTTTATTTAAAGTTTATTGCAAGTGTGTTGCAAGTTTATTTAAAGTTTATTTCAAGTTTGTTTCAAGTTTATTTCAAGTTTATTTTCAGTTTATTTAAATGTACTTACAATAATTGTTGTGCAACATGATTACAATGTTTTGTGCAATAAAACACTATTCTGGCATTAAATAATACTTTGTTTACGCACCATTTGTTTATTTTCATTTATGTATTTGTTAACAATAAGTATCATTGTTTTATATGTTACTGTGATAATATGTTTTCCGAAAATGCGAAAAAACTCGTTTAATAACTGGCGGGAACGGATAAAACATGGCGGACCAATGAAAAGAGATATTCAGGTGTCGTCACTCTGATTAGAGGCACTCTAGATTCGACAACTATCAATACGCGGTTACGGAATAGCAGCCCTGGTCCACTCTCAACGCAAAGCAAAAAGACTAGGAGTTTTAAAATCAATAATATTGAATCATTTTCTTATAGTTCTTGGATGCGGTAATCTATTTCCAAATGTTTGTGTCATATAATCATAAACTGCATTTGAATAACATAATGACATGGCAGCAAATTCTTTTGTAGTTTGTGAGTATTGTGTAACATAGCCTTTATCCAAAATGTTATAATTTCTAAGTTGGAATATTTATTGAATTTTAAAAAAGGGATTGTGAAAACACAATTTAATATGATAATTTAATATGATAAACACATAGAAATATATTTACAAGATAACAAAAGTACTGTTAATATAATAATTTAATGAGAGCTAATAAGAATCAAGCTTTAGTTATTATTGATTACTGTGCACAAGTTATTCATATTGCAGTATCATTGCAATGTTTGTACATGCTAATATAGTTTTGTAATTTGCTTACAGCATCTTAAATTTGTCGAAAGATTTCAAAATAAGAATCGATTATAAATATAATAGATCCAGCAACTCCTGGATGACACGTTGCTCTATGGTACTATCTACAATGGGTCAGTTTGGACGATTTGTATTCATAATAGTTTTATTAATATGGGTAATTATACAGAATATCCTCCTCACCTCCGATATCGGCGAAAAAATATTTAATCGACGCGTTTTTGCAAGAGAAACAACTTTTCTATTTGAAAAAATCGTCGCTCTGCCTTGTGGAGCGAGATATAAATTGTTAAAGTTGATGACAATTTAGGTTAGGAAATCTGTCACATATCGATATCGAAGGTGAGGGGGGTATTCTGTATAATTACCTTGAATAAACCTATATTCAAAATGTGCTTGATGTTAGTGCTGATAGTTGATAAGTCAAATATAACCAATCAGAAGCATAAGCCATGTCTAATTGGCTCAACTTGTCAGAGTTCTAACATATTTCTAAGCGCATTCTGAATATGGTCCATAGACTCTGTATTTGCAAAGCAACAATTCATTAAATTACATATTATTGTTGGTCGTTAAACTATAAATATATCTACAATATTTTGCCTTGATCAGAGTATTCATATTTGTAATATAATATTTCACGTAAATGATTGCATGGAACAAAAAGCAAATGTTTTTTGAAATATGTTTAACTTAAAACATCATGTACTTACTTCTTTAACAGTAACCACCTCACTAGATATCAATTCCTAGGTTTTACAATATTGTAAAAACTTGCTTATTACATAAGCAAAAAGATATGCATATTTAAAAAATGAAACTAGAATATTTTCTAATGGCTCTTCAGCATCTTCTGTGGAAGATGAACAATTCTTTAAATTTTTAAAAGACCAAGATAACGTGAAAACAGTTGACAGTGTCATCGGCATGAAAGTTCTTTCTTATTTATTAGACAAGCAAAAAGATAATGCATCGATAGCACGTTATCCTCATATGAAACATTTGTTTTTAAAGTTTAACACGATTATATCATCATCAGCACCTATTGAGCGTTTATTTAGTATTGGAAGTCAAATTTTAATACCGCGGCGAAATAGATTAAATGACGATATGTTTGGTATTTTTTATATATAAGATTATCGACCAATTTGTGTAATTTTAATGTAAACAAACAATATTAATAAATAGTAAAAGATTTGTTCGGTATATTTTATACATATTATCATTCCTATGATGAAACGCAATAAAAATATTTGATATGTATCTGAGATACTTTAAAAGTATCGGAATATTTCTATCTAGACACATGTTAATTTATGTATTTGTATTCAGATACATTTGAAATGTATCTTGGCCATCGCTGGCTTCAGTGCTGTCTCTTATCCTACCACAACATGATTTTCTTAATAACCCTTACATGTGTGTAAATTATGAATCATATAATACAAAAATGGAATACTCACGTGCAACTGGGTGTTTA